AACTGAGTCATGATGAACATATGAGAGAAGAAGAAAAAGCATAAGACCTTATAGATATTGAAGTGATGAAGTCCCTTATCAACAAATAGTAGTCAACTCAAGAGTCCCCTGTCTTTGTTCCAACTAAACAAACTAGACTCCTAAATCCTCATAACAGCTACTACACTACAGTAGACCCTTTAAATATACAAACTCTAAAAACCCACTAAAGAGATTCTCAGACATAATCCAATAATCAGACAAATTTTTTGTTCAGAAGAAAATCATTGATCCACCTCTTCAAATCCACCCTCTTCGAATGACCATTGCGGGGACTCTTAAAATACCATAATCAAATAGATGCGTCCTACTTTTAAGATTTTGGGACCTCTTTGTTTGAATTTTTCAAAAAGTCGACATTTGAAGAAAACCTGAGCAAGACCTTGAATGCTATAAGCACCCATCACACTCAAGCGAGGTTCAGTTTTGAACTACATCATTTCATCACTCCATTTATTCACCATCAAGATACAGTAAAGCATTAACACGTAAAACAAGAAATGAAGATCAAAGTTCCAAATTAAGCAAATTAAGGTAATAAATGCTAAAATTGATTCCAAACACCAAAGTTGAATCATAAATCAAGAGAAGATTGCTTTCAACATACCTGAATCGGCTTCGGCCCGTATTTGAAGAGCACACCATGGAACTGGTTCTTGCCCTTAATTGGTCCACCATAATCGCCGCTGCCACCGCCGGAGACAGAAGTGCTGGAGAGCTTCAATGCGGCTGATTTACTGGAGCGGCCGCCAACTAAGCCGGATAACCATGAGGTGGATGTGGTTGATGAGGTTGACGAAGACGAAGACGAATCAGAAGAAGACGAGAGAGTAGCGGATGAAGTGGAGAGAGAAGAGGTGGATGAGAGTGAGAGATTCATTTATCGACGTGAAGGTTGAAGCTGGGGTTTGATTTGGATCAGAACATCTGTGCAGTAATGGAGATTTCTGTGTGTACCGGGATTTGTGTGTGTATGGAAATTTTCTTCCGTTGATTATTTCAATTTTTGGCTGGGATTTCAAAAAAGAAAATAGAAAAGAAAAGAAAAGGAAGAAGAAGATGCATGAAGCTGCTTAAAAAAAAAAAGAAATTATTTAAGATTTTAGATTTTAGATTTTCTGATTTTGCCTGAGAGAAATAGAAAATAAATCAAATTACATATTTTAATTATTCACAAATATATTATTAAAAAAATATTTATAATTTAAAATAAAAAAATAATAATTAAACATCTTATAAAATTTTTAAAATTTTTAAACTCGTTTTAAAAAATAAATATATTTTTATAAGTAATATTTCATTTATTTTCTCTTCAAACAATACAATTATAAGTGTTCGATAGTTGACCCAAATTCATTTGTTCAACTCATAATTTAAGGGATAAACTTGTAATTTAAACTTATTAAATATGTTTAAATAACAAATTGTATGAACCTAAAAAATTTATAATTAAACTAAATTAAATAATTTTTATGATAGAGACTTATACCTATAATAGGAGAATTGATATCACTTGTTTGAACATAGATAGTTGAAAATGCTTTTTTGGGCCTCCGTATGATCAACTTATGAGCAACAATTGTTAAGAGATATGACCTTGTTAGACGAATAGATGGTGCCTGACATTCTTTAGTATAACACCAATATGTAAGATTTAGGACAACAATTTGGCATAAAGTTTCAATGCTTGGATTTTGGAAGCAAGGTACAAGCCAAGTATAGAAATGCTTGATGAAATAAATGTACATGAAGAGTCTATCTATAAGTAAATGGATAAATTGTTATAAGACATATTCAAATCAAATTATATTTAATAAATTTAAACACGCAATCTCATACTGAGTTAATAAGAAATATAAATGAAAATATATTTGAATCCATAGCGAAACAATTGTTCGCGTCCTACGGTAGAATATTTCGAATCAATATGATGTCTCAAAAAATTAGTTTTTTTTCTAGTGAAAGGATTTCAAAAAAAAAAAATAAAATAACAAACTTGTAATTTGGGAACCATAACCGTCTTTTATATTGACAAACTTTTGTAATTCTCATTTCACTCATTATAAAATAAGAATATTATAAAATGATATATGCACATTACAAGTTCATATTTAAGTTCAACGTATTAAGATTCAATACTGTTTAATCGTATTCGATCTCTTTTAAATAAACTCATTAAATTGATAATCTGATACGCATACCGAGACCAACATTAAACTCACATGTTAAAAAAATTTAACAATCTCTCACTTGGACTTTATATGACACTTTAACTATATGTTAAATAACCGTAAGAGTATTCAGAACTGTACTATTAATACCTGAATGCATTACCAAACAATCCCATCTATCAATCATAATAATATATAATCAAAGCAGCATTCGATACAGTTAACGTAGTTAAACCCATCAATGGTCATGTATATCAATACAACCAAACGACATGAATCAAATATGGATGCGCAACATAGAAATTACATGCTATGTGATCTAAGCATGCTTATTTCTAACTAGTCATGTTTAAACATTAGTGAGATCAACTAGAAAAAAATTCAGAGATAATATATAACCCAAAAACTAAAACATAATAACTGAAATGAAACTATAAACCAAAACTAAAATACATAATTTATAATGTGTCTTATAAAATAAAAGCAATAAGAGACAAAATTCTCATTGAAACTACACATAGGGATATAACACTTATATGAGCAGTGTGCTCATAAAAGATCTTAGATGGTAATCCCTTACCCTTTATTGGATGGTGTTATTTTGTGGTTAATTAATATAGAATATGGTGTTAGGATGGTAAAATCATGTTTGTTTGTTGATGGTGTGGTTAATATAGGGTGTTTAATGGTATTCAAAAGGCAAATTTTGGGCAAATTTTTAAAACTACTGGTTCGGTAGTTTCTGACGGCTCATATTTTTATTCCAATTATACCCTCGTTAAATTTTATTAATTTCTATTTCACCCTTAAAAAACCCTCATTTTTGCCTTCATTTTCCTTTAGCAACCCGACCTTCTTCTTTTCTTCTCTTCTTCTCCATCTACTTCTCTTATTCTCGATCTGTTTCCTTCATCACGTGATTTGCTTCTTTTCCTCGTGTCTCCATCTAAAATAATCTTCCCTTCTCTTCTTTAAAGCATTTTCTCCATCTGAACTCATCTGAAAGTACCATCTTCCCTTCCCAATTTGCTGGTATGCTTTTCTTTTTTATTATCTAATGCTTTTCTCTTTATTATTAGATTGCTATTGTACTTTCATCTTTTCTGTGTTTGTGGAAGAAGCCCAGATAGAAAGTAAGTTTTTTTGGGTCTCGTCTGTTGATTTGATTTGGGTTTTTAACATATGTATATATGGCTTCAGTTTTGTTGCTGGTGGCTATGATTGCTTTTGCTACTGAACAAAGGAGGAGCATTGTGTATTTTCTTTCTTTTCTTATATCTATATATATTTATCTCTCTCTATATATATATATATATTAAAAATCATATACATATGTATATCTCAATTTTTTTATGTTTTATTTGAGTAGCACCTATTATTTACTAATCTTGGTAAGAGTTGCTCTTTTCCTAATAATTTTTTTTTTCATATATATATATATATACATATATCTAAACTAATGTTGTCATCGGCATCTAAAATTATTCCCCACTGTTATTTTCCTTCTTTGCTTGCTACTTGGTTAGGCATAGAGACAAGAGAGGTCCCTTGCATCATTCTCTTGCTTTCGAGTGCCTGTCCTTTTGCAGATTACTTGTTGATTCGATTGCTCTATGTGATGGCCTCCATGTGAGAATATTTCTCTGAAAAATTCTCTTTTAATAATTAGACAACATGCTCAGAGTTTTGGGGTGTCATTCATTGTTTTTCTTTCATTCTTTTCTTGCTTTAAAATCACTTGACACATTATAACTTTGTCTTCTCTTCATGGAGTGAAGCAATCCCATCTAGAGGATTCAGATTGTCAGTAAATATTGCTACAGCTTTTGTTGTATGATCACTAGCTTTTTCTGCTACATCTGGTACTTTCTCTATAGCATTTTTTTACTATTCCACAATTGATAATATGGTACCTTCAGTAGCATTCATGATTTACTCTTCGATTTGGTAAGCTGCTTCAGCAGCAGAAGTCTTTGCAGCTGAAACCCTCATATGAGCATCTTATGATATTTGAGATGTGGTATGCTAAAAAGCAATCTTTGTTAACTTTTCAACTAGTACTCCAAATTCAACAACATTTTTTTTTTTTTTTTTGCAAGGACCAACTTAGATTCCAAAGTAAACTTCTTTTCGACCGATGCTTGCAGCTTCTGATGGAACAGAGACTTGGTTGCCTTAAGTTCTGTACTAGTAATTTCTTTATCATGCAAAATGGCAGCTACATACTCCTTCTGCTTCGCCTCAGACCTAGCCAACTCTTCAAGCAAGTGATTTATCTCTTGTTTAAAGCTTCCTTATTTGGCTTGGCCCTCAAAAAGAGCCTTTTTCGCTTCTGTTAATTCATCTTCTATTTTTTTTTTTCAAAACTCCACTTCTTCCTGATGAATAATCATCTACAAAAACATCAATAGAATCATCCTGTCATGGAAATTTATTGATATGTGCTTTTATGATCATACTGTTGTTGTTGCAGACTTAAAAAAAGCCAGCTACCAAAGTTAAATATGCAATTTCCATGTGTTTCTAGTCGTATTTTCTTTAAACCAACTTGAAGTTTTATTGACTGAGGCCTGAGTGGGTGAGTGAGAGTTTCATAGTCCGTAGGCAATCAAAAACTTTGCCTACCTAGATAGGCAAAGAATTTTGCTACCGAGACTTGCCCTACATTTAAATCCTATCCAGAGTGGATAGTCTCTAGTATCATCAATCCTGACTTTCGTAAGGGCAAGGTGTAATGTCTCGTGCTCACTAACTTCCCTGTCATTGATTTTCGATAACTTCTAGTAGTCTCTCTTTGTTGATTCTTGTCTTATACACAAAAGATATATAATAGTTGAATATGTATATACATACACACACATATATGAAGAAAATAACGGTGCATGGCATGCAAGTGAAAAGAGTAGAAAGTTTTGTTTGGGATTACCTAAAATTTTATTTATACTTGAACAAGCACAGACAAATACCGCCATAATATACTACATATGTTTATGGGAGAAAAAAGGGAGAATAGTTAAACATATATTTAGGTATAAACATGTATGAAAATGAGAAATAAAAACTAGATATGTTTTCATATGTTGTTTTCTTATATATATATATATATATATATTTTATGTTTTCTTTCGGCGTATATATGCATATATAAATATAAATATATAGATGGTCTACATACATGAGCTAAAGTTCATAATTCTCAAGTTAAAAATTTATAGATACAGTCGAAATGGAGACAAGTTGGTGCATGGTGTATAAGATAATTTAATTTAATTAAATTATATTAATTGCATAGTCATTTGTTATTTAGTAGTCTAACGGCAGTGCGTTTGAAAGGAGTTGGAGAACATCACCCTGTATCGACACTTTCAGAAGGTTGCAATCATTTTCCTACAATTACTTTGACGCACGAGTAAATTTAAAAGGAGTTGGAGAACACGTGATTTACAAATGGTGCTTTGTTTTCTCTAGATTATCTATAAATAAATAAATAAATGGCAATGGAAGCAATTTTAGACATCATTTTCAGGTAAAATAGTTTAACATAATGTTGGTGACCATTTTCTTGAACAAATAAGAGGATTAGGCACAAAAATGTTGGGTCTGCAATTGTGGGCATGGTCTCCTAAATTAGTAAATTTAATAAAATACTTCAATCGGTAAATTACCAGATATTTAATCATGCTTAAATTAGTAAATTACTTGCATGAATTATGGGTTATAGTTGAGATAATGCTACCTTCAGGTTTGAGTAACTTCTTCTTTTCCTCACACTTTAATGTAAAAATTATCTTCAAACGTGTTTAAAGATTGTAATAACTTTGTATGAACACGATGCTTTAGAGTTTTCAGTTCGTTGTAGCTTGTCGATTTTCAAATAAT